TTTCTTCCTCTTAATTTAAAAGTTGATAATTCTTGTCTAGCTAGCAGAACTAATTCTTGGGATAACTTCTTTAGCAATTTAAAAATACTGCTGAAGTGACTCTAACTTCCTTTATCAGCTACTACAGATGACACCTTCCCCTCACATTTGCCTTTGGTGTTTCTGTGGCAGATGTAAATAATCATCTGCCTGGGATATTAGCATTATTTAATGTTATTTCTTTAATATGTCCTTTATATGACTTAGTAACTGGTAATAAGAAGGAAAAATAGCACTATAGACCACCAGTTGGCTTCCCATGAACCACTAACAGATCACCAGCAAGGGTGACCAGAGTATTTTGATGCTTTTATCCACTGGCACACCAATCCATCAGAAGCCCTGGGAAGCCTGGCTTCCATACTGAGAATATGTTATCTGTTAGCAGACATATCACAAAAGCTTTCAAGAGGGAGCTACATTTGTAAGTCTGAAGACATAATAACTTCTCAAACCTCTGTATTCTGGTGCTCTGGACAATTTGTCCATAGATTAGCTGGCCAAGTCCCAGGCAAGCACCTATCTCAACACAATGTGGGAATCTGAATGGAATCGTGTCTCTGGCAATCATTGCTTAGGAAGAATATAACTACTTTAGAAAGTAAAGCACTGAACTATGCTGAAGGGTTGCATCAAATACAAGCAATTTCTGACACATTAAATACTGCAGCAGACATTTCAAAGCATCATAAGGACCCTACAGATGACCCCTTCCTATTACCATTAACTGGCTATAAGGCATCTAGAGCCCATGTCAATTTTGAAAATATCAGAGTCGAGAAGGATATTTATTCAAATCCCTATTTCATGTTTGGAGGGTCTAATCTACTACAGTTGAATAAAAACAGATTTGAGTTGACTTCAGTAAGATTAATCTCCTTCATGAGAGGTGACTAACAGGGATTCATGTCTCCCTGTTGTTCTCTGTACAACCTTTATCAAAAGGGGCAACCCCGGAGTACCAACACCTGTTGTACTCAAAACAGGGAGATAAACTGCATTGCTCCGACCTCGTCATATCCTGCAGAGAACCACTAGGTTAATCCAGGGTAAGTGAGACTCTGATGTTTAGAGCAGGTCTGGTTTACAGCAGAATATTAATCTTTAAATGGGGATGGAAAGAAGTGTTCAGAAGCATTATTTATAAATGAAGATAAGTGCTGGCTAACTTCCCTGCCTTATGCTTATATCATCTAATTATCTTGGCATGGTGTTTCGCTCTTTCATGTTCCAAGTCTGCTTTGTGCTCTAGCAATTCACATCATTATCCTTCCTATCTCTTACATTTTTTCTCCTCCCTTTAGATACACCATTAACAATCCTAAGTAAACTGAGCTTCAGGGATTTATATACACATGGTGTTACACAGTTTCTACTCCCAGTTTCCAACCAACACTGCTCATTTTTATGGCTGCAAGACAATATGCTATCAACAGGTATTTTTTTCACAGGATCTTCCAAACCCCCATACCAATCTCAGAGCACCCCAAAAATAGTGACAGCCATGAATCCCAATGGCTAGATTCTATAAATGGGGGAGAGGGAAGTCTAGAACTATGGAATTTTTTAAACAACAGTGAAAACTGAGTGAGGCAAAAAAGACATACATAAGACAAAACTTACCTGGCTGTATTAAACATTTTATAGAGCAGGGCCTTTCGTCCAGTACTGTCTTGAGTTCAGCAACTTTTAGATTTCCCAGAATGCTCAGCATCCTAAGAGAAGTGGCTTTCATCCCTTCACCTCTGACTGTGGGATCCCTCCATGCCCAACACTGCAACTTTCTTCAGCAGGGGCTTTTTTCCGTCTCTGTTTCACAAACTTATCCCACCTCTGCATGCTCCCCTACTTGTAAGGAAGGATCTGCCTTCCTATCCTCCCTCTGTCCTGAGGATTTTGTTGCATAATGGGCTGCAGATGAGACAAGACAAAGAGAACACAACAGATGGTAAACCACAGCAGAGAAATAAAACAGGTACCACCCTGAACAGACTGAAATAGTATTTCCAAAATGGTATCTTTTGGCATTCCCTGTGAATTTGTTGTAATGTTTTCTTACCAGCTCTGAAACAGAAAAAGACAGAGAAAATATCAGTCCAGTTTGAACCATTACAGGCTTTGTGGTGGGAGAAGATGAATAGCTTGACTGAAAAGAGATAAAACATAGATCATCATCTTTGGCCTCCTATCCAAACAGGGCAAATTTTACCCTGTTTGATGCAAAAGCAACATGCTGATCCTCTACAGCAAGGTCCTCAGCACTACCCCAATTTTGGCTTTTGCTGCTGGTCTAGGTGGCCTGATATGGTGCAACAGGGAAATGCAGCTTAACTCACACCTGGGAGGGCAGAGAGGAAGCATGGCCTCATCCAACACATTGTCCACAGTCTTCACTGGATACAAAGATGCTTTCAGCCTGTGAACAGTAGAAATTATGCCTTTGCAAAGGAAGCTGATGTGTCCAAATGTGAATATGATATGGGAATATCATATATAATAGGCATATGTGAATATGTCTGTGTTACATGCTACAGCACGTTAATTTAAATGCTCAAACTGCAACATTGTTTATGGCTTGTATGTGCTTTTAAAAAGATCTGCACATGACACAACCCTTTCAGTCTCAACATTACCAAATCCCTGAAGCCTAACTAGATTGCAAAATGTTTATTTCTTTGATCTTCCTAACAGTAACAAACAATCCTTTCAACCTCACTACCTGTATCTCCTTCTTTTGAGGTAGCTGAGGTTTAATACTCTAAAGTTTTACAAAGGTATCTTATGTAAAAGAAATTTCCTAATCACAAATTGAAGTAAGGAGACATAATTCCTCACCCAAATTGTCACAGTGCATTTGAAAATGATAAATCTCTCCAAGAATAAAAAAAATCAGCAGGCAGCTGGCAGAATAGATTATATTTAATTGTAAATATTTTCACTGTATTGTTAATAACATGATTTAGGAAAAATATTAAAATGTAATGTAAATTCTATTTTTTTAATATATTTTTCATACTTTTTTTGCATCTATTTTTAAACAAGTTTTATTTCTTCTATACACAAATGAGTATCTGGTTATAGCATTAATTGTTGAAACTAGATCAGTACCAGGGGAATCTTTGATCTGCACAATTATCAATTAAATAATTAAAATCAGAAGGATGAAGATGCTTTGAAGATTTATTAGTAGCTTATTTTATTCTCAGTTATTAATTTTTATTGCATAAAATTGAAAAACATGAAACAACAAAGCATGCATGTTCGCTCTGTAGTGGTGTTTGAACTGACAAGTCTCCTATGAGTTTGGGGATATATATTCTGTGCTATTTAATTATATACTATACATATTCCTAAGAAAATATAAGCACAGTATGTAAGGGATAGATTTGTGATTAGTACTGTAGCAAATATTATATCCATGTTTATGGTTCTGTGAAAATACGCGTAAGTTTTGAAGTGTTTAATTACATTTCCTCTTCAAATTTACTGTAAAAATGCCTTTGCCCAGGAGTAAGAAAAGGGTGGATGCTATCATTCCAGTTCAGCCATTTTTCTTCACTACTATATGCTACATTGATGGGAATTAAATATAAAACATCAGGCAAATAAGATAACTTTATGATTATGCACAATAGCTTGCCGCTTAAAATGAAACAATGGAACCTTTTCCTTCATTAACTGGATTAAAGATTTTTAAACTTATTCAGCCTATTTGATTTTACCAACTATGCTACACAGTGACGTACTCTCGTGTGCAAATCTACAAGTGCAATGATTTTCTTCCAGTTAGGCACAGTGATTACTCTAGAATTATTCTTTCTGTGAAGATGAGTATAATTAATTAATCTAAGTGGTTACTTGGAAATTTAGAGGACAGAAGAAATCTCTGGACTAGGTGACGTAGTAAAATGACTGGAAAAATGAATATACAGGTGGTAAACTAATATACTGTTTATGCACTTGAAACAGCTACAGCCTACATTAAATACGTAGATACATGCAAGATACATTGGGTATGACAGCTACTAAAACCCCCACTGTTTAAAGTTTTTTGAGGGTAACAAGTTTTGTAAAAAGCATAGCATGGAAATCAAAACAAGGGAGATAGATATTGAATCTGTAGTTTACAAACTTTAGAAGGAGTTAAACATTTTTCAGTTTGGAAATATTTTCCTAGATTTTATAAGAAATCAAAGTATTTCAGGGAGTTTGAAGGAAAAAAAAATAAATGCTTTTTTGAAAACTGCTTCTTGAAACACTCGTAACGTTGACAGCCCTGAAGTCTTTCTGTTACAAGGCCTTTCCAAAACCAAGTTCCTTTACACCAGGATGCTCTGAAGCAAGGCAGTACTTGTGATCCATCTCAGAAAAAAGAAGGAAGATTCTCAGAGCATTTCAGCAGCAAGCCACCAGCCTGATAACACACAGCCTGAGTTTCACCATTTATATATCTCAGAAAAATAGCAGAAATGAAGCTAAGCATCATAACAGCCACATAAGTCTAACTCATTGAGGAAGGATTTAAAGAGCTCTACCATTCATGATTCTGAAGGCTCATGTCAAGTATTCACCTTGTACTCAACAAGGAGATGGCATTTGTTAGTATTATGTAAAAAGAAAACAAGAAAAAAGTACAATATCCCCTGTCACTAATAGAATTTCAGAGATGAGTATTCTGCCTGCCAGCCCACAATCTTTATGTAGTTTTTCTGTAAGTATAAATGGTGAATAACTGAAGATTCAAATTGCATTGCAGATGAAATCCCCATGTTACTCTGTTTGGTCACATACATCTACAGTGGTTTGTTCTAGGAATCAGTCTTTTCACCACCACCTTATACCCATGATGTTTTTAGTATTTTCTGGTCCCACTTAGGAGAGAAATCACAAAAAATATAGCTTTTCTTATATATTTTTTTCTATGGATTTCTTTTGCCATTGTACCTCAGAAGAAACCATAGCAGAGAAACAAAGTGCAGCAGAATAATAAGCATCTGAACCATAAACACTGGTAAGTCACCTCTTCCATTCAGATAAATATTTAGGTAAATGCTACTTTAATGGGAAATTATCAACATGCCTTTAAGCTAAAGGCAAAAACCTAGCCCAATGAACTGTTACTGCAAACATGGAACAGAAAGCATCAGTTGTCAGATGAAAACAATCTCTTTCTAATGTCATGGAGCTGAGTAAAGACAGAGTTACAACTTCTGCTTAAAGCCCTCTGATACAAATAGGTAGAATGGCATAACAACCCACATTTGCTAAGTTAATTAAATGTCTTTACCAAACTACAGATCATTTATTTTTCAGAGTGCTCAGACCCTATGCCTAGCAAGCATCATCGTAAGCTATCCTTTTCCTGCCTAATGTGTTTCAAAGCCTACAGTATCCTCCTTTTCATTTTTTAATTAGCATTCTAAAAGGACATGCACGCTGGTGTGTCCTTCCTCAGGAGGAAGACCCTGGCAGCAGCAGCAACCAGTGCTGCCTCTGCCCTTATTCCAGAGCTAGCAACTGGCTTGTAAACCACTGGTGATCCTGCAAAAATTCATGTACTACACAATATATTTCCCACAGTAAATATACTGAGCAGTAACAGAGCCATCAAGTTCTCAGCAAACAAATTTTTATGATAAATGAAATGTCACTGCTTTAAAGCCAAATAAAATCATTTTAATTTGATAAAATGTTTGCTTGAGAACTCACAAAATTTTCACTCCAATTTATTTTATCCTTTCAGAACATAATCTGATCATGTAAAATAACCCACTGGAAACATACCTCAAATTTGAACATAGCTACTCTGAATTACTTTCTAGTCATCCAGAATGTAAAGCAGAATTTTTTTCAGTGATTTGTGTCATTTTTGATAACTTGGAATAGTCAGGAACTGAGTTCATGGCTGCTTTGCATTCCCAAAGTGACACAAAACACATTGTACTAGGGAATTCATCCTCTTTTAAATTCTCTTCTCCCTCCTTTCACCAGTGTTGCATCAAGTAACTTATGCAGCAAAAATCCCCCAAAACTTTTACTGAACAAATACAAAAGTCATACGCAAAAGCTGCAATATCACTTAATTGGAAAATTTCATACTCAGATTTTCTTTCTTCAGAAACCCTGTCTGATAATCCATAACAAATTGATTCAGCCATGAAAACATTCACAGCACATGAAAACTGTGGTGCAACTTTCCAGGATCACACACTGCACACACACAGTTTTAGCAGTCAGGTAGGTAGGTATGTAACACACTGAGGGGCTCACAGGACACTCTAGTTTGATGAAAAAATGTAATTGAGCAAGGAAAGAGGAGGTTGTAGTTTGCTCCACAGACTGCCCACAACAGAAAGAGGAACACATGCTTCAGCCAAAACCATGGAACATGCTGCTCCTCTCCTCTGCCTCCCAAGTCCTCTAGGGTAGAGCAGTTCACCTACAGCATGCTGTAAGTCAGAGCTGTCTAAACTGCCAATGAAAAGGCACACACACAATTCCTACCCTTGCCAAAGGCACATGTTACAGATCAGACCAGTGCATACATGTTTCTTGTAGGACCAGGGAGAAAACTGTACTACTTGATCTCTACACCCACTTACACAGAAGCTCAGCAAGAGGGTAGGGCTCAGAGCCCTAGGAGAGAAAATGGGAGTAACAGTTTCCTGAGGACTACTAAGCCAACACACTATTAAATGTACCGTCTAACACTGTTCTGTTCTTCCACTCTTGCAGCTACCACATGTGATGGACCATATCCAAGTTAAACACTCTCACCAGAGCATGCTCCAAGACAGGCGACTGGGCCTCAGGCTTTGCCAATACAATGCAGTTCTATTCTCTATTTATTTTTGTAGTTCAAAGACCTGGCAGTAGCCCATTTGATGCCTGCCATAAGGACCAGTGCACTCTTGATTACTGCCATGAGATTTCCAAGCCCACAGACGGCGTATGTTCCAATGTATGCCAGTCACCAAGATAGACTGTGCACAAATAGCAGGAGGATTCTCTGAGAGAAAGAAAAAAGCCAGCTCCTATTTCCACTTTGAACCGCCCTGTAATAGGCTGCCAACTTGAGGACCTTGCTTTAATCACAGCAGCACATGAAAGAGTTCATTCTGTTTATCTTGGTTCATTTAGGAAACCAGTGATAAGTCTGCCATGAAAAAAAATCCGTCTTCTCCTGGAAGCTGGCATACTTGTCCCAAGATATGGGCTTTGATTTCAAGTGCAGTTATTTACAGTTATACCACAGAGCACATGAGTTTTCTCATTCTACCAGATGACTACTTTTCCCTGATAAGCAAGCTGTGAATACTTAAAATTTCCTCTCAAGTACAATGGCATCTCTGTGTGGAAGTTGTAGGAAGAGGGCAGCAGATGCTCCTACAGCTTCAGGTTAAGTGTGCAAGCTGCATCCTGATGTTCGCACCCAGCCAGGCAGGAAGAGGAGCTGGAGGAAGAGCTGTGGCCCACACATAGGAGGGAACAAGGTGTGCAATGTGACTAAACTTTCTTCCACTAGGCTTTCTGAAGCAAACAAGACAAGTGCAACTGTAAATAAGGATATGAGGCTGGCACTCAACTACTGAATATGGAGTATTACTTTGCCATGAAATAGCAATACCAGAAAAAAAAAAAAGTTACAGACTAATTGTGGATAAAAACATATAATCCTCTTCTGCATGAGTGAACTGCATTTTTTTGGCTGTGGAGTATTGTGGATAACCAAACAGATAGTCTTGTCCCTGTAGATCAGAACAATATATGTACTTTTTAACTATGCTACCATCTACAGACCACTGGCATCCCCCAGTGCTGTTTGTGGTATAGCCAGATTCTGTACTGCTGTTGCTTCAGTTTTCTGGGCTCACTATGTACCTCGTAGGGTTTCAGTGTCAGTAAATGCAATTCTCTCTCTGCTAATAAGAAGTTTTAGAAGGTGTGAAGTAGTTGACGGGTTCTTTTGAACCTAGTGGATGCAAGGTAGTGGCTGTTGATGATGGGAGTACGCACTGGAGACTATTTAGTCTCAGGTTGCTAAAGGATTTCGGAAGCTGCGACTGAGTGGAAGACATTTGTGAACATATTTGATTTCTGGACCCTACATGAACCCTTAACTTCTGGCAAAGACAGAAATGAGAATGGAGAGAAAAACTCTTGTATTTGGAGAAAGATGTATTATTTTCAAATTCTGAAGGATCATTATCTTCAGCACAACTATTTTTCCTCTTGAAATGTAGGTTATATTACTACATTTGCTTCTGACTTCTCAGCCCTTGGCACCCATAATTCTATTTTTCCATTTAAAAAACTGCTGAGGTCTCTGTGCTGATATCTCAGCAAACACAATATTTCATCTCTGACTGTATCCTGTTTAGTCTGGATTTGTTCATGTTCACAAGCAATAGATTTGAAATACAGCCTCACAGAATAATCAGTAATAAACACACAAAAGTGACAGGCAATAATTTCATAGTTTTCATAAGAGATAAAGTAAGATATCTTACTAAACTTTGCCATATCATGTGAATGTGCCAATTTACCTCTCACAGTACGTTAGATACATTTGTATTGTGAGATATTGGGAGATGCTACTATAAATCTTGCAGTATCTTGCAAATGTGCAATTACTCTTCACAAGTGCCCAGATGGGGATTATATCTCATTATGTCAAGTGCTATGCAAAAAACAAATGTCAGCTGTACTTAATGATGTTGGAAAGTTCAAGAACAGATCTGCTGATGAAAAAAAAAACAAAAAATGGTCAGTATCTGCTTGAATCACAACTCAAATGACTGGCTGTTTACATTAACCTTGTCCAAAGCATGTAATCATCCTGAGAATGCAAAACTGGACTGAATCACAAGAGTGATGTTCCTTCCAAGCTTTCCGCTAGGTGCTTTGTCTGCATATCTATGCATCATAATAATGTCCAATGCTACAGTAGCTTTTAGTTTTCTGACCTTTTTAGAAACAGAAATAACAGACCCTAAAAACAAAACAAAACAAAACAAACAACAAAAAAACCCAACCAACCACCACAAACACAAACAAAAAATACATTAAGGTTAGAAAAAGGTCCAGTTTGATGTAAGCTTAAATTTTACATGTCAATTGATCCACTCGAACACCTAGACCTGTTGTTTTTTCACATAAGTGTAACACGGCATTCCCAAATTCAAAATTATTAGCCCTAACCAAATTTTCCTCACAAAACATTCCCATTCCCCCTGCCTGGAGCGTTAAAGAATGTCACTGAATAGTCAGTTCCCTTCATGTACCATTGTAGTGCTTTGCAAATAGACATCATCCCTGGATTATCCTGCTTAAGACCTGCATGCAGCCCATCCATACACTTTGCAATATTTCACTTGCCCCAGTAACTGATTTCTCCAAAGAAATATCCTTGGATAATTTCAGGTACATGCCAGAGAGAGTCAGCTCTACAAGCTTGGGTTTTTCCCTGAAGTTTAACATTATTAGCTGAACAGGCTCAGCTGAGCATGTATTCAGATATCTTTTATTAAAATGGACTTTTAATGTTAGTCATGAACAGATATTCACACTTCTAAACATTTTTTCCCCTTAAATTTTCCTTATTGGCACTCCTGTTAAAGAAAATTGCATCTGAAAGAAGATATTCTCGTTGTCTAATAAACTTTTTGATTAAACCCACCAAGTACTGATCCATCTCTACAATATTTTTAAATGTTTTGAGATGCAAGTTTTCAGGTTTCTGCTTCCAAAGGAAGCATGGAACAAGTCAGGTCAGATTTTTTAAGGTGTCAATTGAAAACAGCTGAACTTCTTCAAGAAAAATTACTTTTTATGAAGAGAAGGCTTCAAATTTACGATTCTACCAATTTTTTTCTCATTCTCAGAACTGTTGAGAAGCAAGGCCAAAAGCAGTTCGTTTTTCCTTTCTAATGGAAAAGGAGCCAAAATTCAGAGTCAGGTAAATTCCACTTACCTACCTTTAATTTTGGCCTCAACAGTGCCATTTTCCAGCCAAGAACCAATGTCAGGATTGCACACTATTAACTGAGTTCCTTTTACTGAATCCTTGCAACCTTGCTAATGTGTAAGCCATAAAACATGAAAATATGCATTCATTCTGAGTTCAGTTTGTAGAACAAGTAACCAGGAGAACACTGCTCTGCCTCCCTTTCCCTACAGCTCCCAAACCTGTCTTGAAAATGCTTAATGACAGCAAAACTGCTGTGCAAATGAATGCCACTTCTTAAAAAGACTGTCATAAACACATGATGAACAAGGGGAGCTGTAATGACTATTTTTAGATGGATGGCATCAGTTTCAGAGAAAACTCATTTTTTGAAAAAAAAAAAAGGGTTTGGATTACCTCGCCTTATATGCAGCTACATCAATCCACCTCGGCTTCCTCTACAAGACAAAATGAGTAAGTGGTGGCCAGCACCATGCATGGGCTTTCTTAGAGAGGAAATGCTCTGCAGGCTCCATGGACCAGCAGCTGCCACTTCGCAATGGCTCAGGTGATTGGGAAACTGCAACATTCCCATTTATTCTCCTGACTTACTAGTTTGTTTTTCCTTGCAATTACTTCCACCAAATCTGTGCATGAGCAGCTTTTCTCTCTAAATAGTGCTTAGGATGTGAACCTCGGGTTTTCTTCTTGCTAGAATTCTTGCATACTTAGTTCTGCTCACTGTGATTTTGTACTCATTTCTGTCTAACACTATGCTCTTCCTAGAGAACTGACATGCTTGCAGTAATTGGCCATAATAGTTTTCCTTGAAAGACTAGTGCTGGTTTATGTTTGGGAATATCAACTCTGACAAGATAATGCCAACATGTAATTTGTAATTGAACCATTTAGTAGAATCATAGAATCATAGAATAGTTAAGGTTGAAAAGGACCGTAAGATCATCAAGTTCCAACCCCTCTGCCATAGGCAGGGATACCTCACAATAAACCATGCAATTCAAGGCTCTGTCCAGCCTGGCCTTGAACACTGCCAGGGATGGAGCATTCATAACCTCCCTGGGCAACCCATTCCAGTGCCTCACCACCCTAACAGTAAAGAATTTCCTCCTTATATCCAATCTAAACTTCCCCTGTTTAAGTTTGAACCCATTACCCCTTGTTCTATCACTACAGTCCCTAATGAAGAGTCACTCCCCAGCATCCCTATAGGCCCCCTTCAGATACTGGAAGGCTGCTATGAGGTCTCCACACAGCCTTCTCTTCTCCAGGCTCAACAGTCCCAACTTTCTCAGCCTATCTTCATATGGGAGGTGCTCCAGTCCCCTGATCATCCTCGTGGCCTCCTCTGGACTTGTTCCAACAGTTCCATATCCTTTTTATGTTGAGGACACCAGAACTGCACACTATACTCCAGGCGAGGTCTCACAAGAGCAGAGTAGAGAGGCAGGATCACCTCCTTTGACTTGCTGGTCACACTGCTTTTGATGCAGCCCAGGATACGGTTGGCTTTCTGGGCTGCGAGTGCACACTGAAGCCGCCTCATGCTCATTTTCTCATCAACCAACACCCCCAAGTCCTTCTCCGCAGGGCTGCTCTGAATCTCTTCTCTGACCAACCTGTAGCTGTGCCTGGGGTTGCTCTAACCCAGGTGTAGGACCTTGCACTTGGCATGGTTAAACTTCATGAGGTTGGTATCAGCCCACCTCAGAAGCGTGTCAAGGTCCCTCTGGATGGCATTCCTTCCCTCCAGCCTATCAACCGAACCACACAGCTTGGTGTCATCGGCAAACTTGCTGAGGGTGCACTCAATCTCACTGTCCATGTCACCAACAAAGATGTTGAACAAGACCGGTCCCAACACCGATCCCTGAGGGACACCACTAATTACTGGTCTCCAGCTGGACATTGAGCCATTGACCACAACTCTTTGCATGTGGCCCACCCGAACATTTAAAAAAAAACCATCCCCAACCCCCCCAAATCATAGACCGAGCAATGTGAATAAATATGCTGAAATATCTCTTTATTCCTGAATTGTCTTAGTCTCTTTTTTTTATCTGTGCAGCTCCAAGTAGCAGAAGAGGCATTCTGTGCCACTTATATGCAGTTTGTCCTGGAGAATCTCCCTGCAGCTGGAAGAATATGGCAGTGTATACTTGCAAAGTAATATACGATACTGAAACACTGCTCTGAATTTTTCATGGGTAAGGAGTTAAGAAGACAGAGATCTGCCTACAGATTAACTAAGAAAGCATTACCTGGATCTTATGATATGCTGTTGCTTTCACTAAAATAGTCTAATTCAAACCAGAACAAAATTTTAGCTCTATAACCACAAAATGTATTTTTTTCACCAGAAACTTGAATAGTTTTAATATGTTGATTTTTTCATTCTTATACACTCCTTTAATAAAATCAGCCTGAAGCTTGGAGGGCTCCACCATTGTATTTAAAAGGCATTAGTGTCCATATTGTAAATTTGACCCTTTCTCCCTCCAGCCCTTAACAACAATATTACAGGAGAAAGAAAAGAACCAAACTGTGCTTGTTAACATACTTAAATAATTTTCAACCTAAAAACCCTGTAGGTTTATATCATCTACTGATTTTTCTACTAAAGCTAGCAGAACACACTTCTAGCAGTTGACTGAGGCTTCTAATCCAACAAGGCACTTAAATGCATAATTTCATTGTGTGTATGATGTCCATGTTGATGCTTTGACATCAGCTGAAATATACAGGAGCAGAACTGGACAGAATTAGTAATACAAATACAAACAAAAATACCAAGAAGACCCTAAAAAAAAAACTTATGAAAAAAAAATCCCAAATCTGTACCCCCAGAAACTCCCCAAAATATTTATTTATTTACAGAATTCAGAAACAAACAGAAAGCTCTGGCCTCCTGAATGCATGCCAAGAAAGCTCTTCTCATCTGCCAGGAAACAAACTTACACTTTCTGCCAGAAGCAGCTAAAAAGGTGGCTTCAATAAGCCCAACAAGGGAGCAATAAAAACAGCAGAATTATTATGAACAGCCTGGTAGGTAGTAATTACAGCCATAAAAACATTGCTATTTACTCACTCTTTTTTATAGCTATCATGGCAAAAGAAATGGGAAAAGGATGAGATGGTTGTGAGAAGTTTTAATCATTTGAGAAGCTCAACATGTTCAAGAAAGTTGTTATGAGTGAAAGCACGAAAGGGCTCACTGAGAAAGCTGATAACTAGGCAGAGCCTACTCTGTTTTTTTGAAGAAACCTGATAAAGACAACTTTATGTGCTGTGTGGAGAAAAAAAAAAAAAAAAAGTATCTTTTTTTTTGCCTGAGTGATGAATTTAGAAATGCTTCTGGAATGAATTAAAACATCAGTAACTATGGGAGAGTTACATAACTGAACTCAATATTTGCACTGACACTTTAGGCATATCATTACTATCTCCTGATAAGCACCCCGCCATAAGCAGCTTCACAGGGTCAGGGTAGAGAGTCTATTTTAAAATTTATGACAGAAATGTAACCGTAAATGTTGTTTGATCCTGTATTACAGAAACTATAAATCTGAAGATTACAAATTTAAGTTTTGAAATCCAAACAAGGCCAAGGAGTACAAACTATACCCCACAAAAATTAGTACTTTAAAGATAAAAAAAATGTATTGAATATCTGAACAAATTCAGTATTTCTAATGATTCCATAGCACTGTGAAAGATATAGACTTAATGGGAATTTCATGCTCAAACTAGCTCTGATATTGCACAGAAAGCTGTCAAAATTAAAAATTCTTCCTAGAATATGAGTTGTGAAAGTTTAGATCAGAAAAATTAAAACATATAATTAAGAAAAAATACTTATTAAAAAAAAAGATCATAATGATATATTCCTAAACCTAAATGTAAAATTAACCAAACCTACTATTATATTAACATTAA